TGTTTGCTCAGGTCTCTGCTTTGTACCTTTTAAGTTTTACAGACTTCCTATTAATGTTTGGAGAGCAGCAGCTTGTGTGGGAGTGCAATGGAAGCTGTACAGGCATGTCATATGAAAAAGCCTCCAGTCGCCTCCCTTCTATTATGAACACAGAAGCCATTTTCTCTGTCATTTAATAGGAGGAAGCCTCCAGAATATTAAAGATTTGCCTGTCGCTGTTTTATCCAGTGTGGAATATAATGGAAAAGTGTGCTTTAGCACCATAACAATTCGGTTTGTTATTCATTGCCGGTTTAACAATATACACTATTTGAATGTTTAATGGGAAACTAAGTGTAGACAGAAGCTGCTCTGTGTGGGAGCATCTCCAACTGTAATTGCATGTTGTGACTGACATAGTTTTAAGATTGTTTGGGTGGGTGTAGTTTGACTTGTCAGATTTTATTTCTTGTTTTTATAAGCATTGCACTTTTACTTTTGGAATGCAGTTTGTTCCTGTGCTATAATCACCTTCGTGTGCAAGAAGTCAAAGGTCTCAGTTTCACAGATCTTCCCCTGGTTGTCCTATTAACGCTTTCCAAGTTTTCCCTATTTCGTAAACTAAGTTTGTGTGCTACAGTGCATGCTAAAGTTCTGTTTATTTTGGACATTTCCAGAGTCGGCAGAGCAGACATAAGATGCTTAGTGTGCATCCAAAAAAATAATGAGTGTTAACAATCAACTTGATGCCAGTTTTTCTTATGGGTTAATTAAACACCTTCAGCAGATTTGATTATTGAGCCATATCTGCAAAGGTGTTGATTTTTCTGGAGAGAAGTGTAAGATATGTCAACACTTGTTAACTCAAAATAACTGTCAATTAGTCCAAACTTATCAACATTGCGGAACTTGTGAGAGCGCCAACTTTCGGGCTAGTTGTGGAAAAATAACTTCAAGACTCATTTTTTGAGATCAGATCCAATCCACATCACTCAGCAAACACTGGCACCATGCGGATATTTAACACTCTCGGAGCTGCAACTTATTTTTCCACGGGGGAAAATTTCTTTTCAAACGTGCTAAAAGTTTCTCAACTGCAAGAAAACATTAGTTAGTGACACAACTTTCTAGCAAGACACATTTTTATAAAGTGCTTAAAATGTTCTTGATGGCTTCAGTTGTGGTTAACAATCACTTTTGAGTTTCTGGGCTATAAATTTTTTATTTTTTTATTTTTTTACCTGAAGTTTGTTTTCCTAAAACTTTGCCGTTTTAGTTCTTCTTTCAGTTCTGGAGAAAAAAAAAAAAAAACTCTCCCACTGATGATTTGACCATGTGCCTTTTGCACAAGTGCTGCAGAGCCTCTTGAACACAATCCATGTATTGACTAATTAGGGAAGTATTTGCTTTCTTGCCAAGAGTTACATGTGAAGACTGATACCACTCTTATGTCTATCGTACATATGAAGCCGCAGCCAACAGTGGTGCAGCTTTGCTTTGCATAAAGGAGGGGAAAGCAGTCACCCCTGCTTTTTCTAAGGCTAACAAAATCTGGCTATCAGCCCCTCTAAAGCACTACAGTCTGTTTGAAAGGCAAGCAGTTGAGATTCCCGCCAAGAAATAGTTAGTAAACTATCTTTTTTACTTAAGTTTGCATGCAAATATGGAAGCTTCTGTTACCTTTTACAGAAGCAGAATGACATTTTCTCCCTGTGTTCAGCCTTTATAGTGCTTTTACATTAAGTGAAGCTGTCAACGGGCAGATATGGAAGTGTTTTCCATCTTTACTCTCAGTAACAATGCAAATCGATGCATTTCTCAAAATGTACCACAACTCCTATATACATACCAAGAGCAGAGCTGATGGTTTATGAGGAGCTCGTGAATATTTATTAAAAGATTACCAACATTTACAAATGCATTACTATCAAATAAAATCACACCGTATGTGTTTTTACAATTTAACTGTAGTAGAACGCATGACAACTCATAAAATGAGCGGAAAAGCTGTGAAATACATTTGCAGTCATATGCAGATCAATACACACACACAAACACATATATATAAATATATTCCCTGCTTACCGTATGTTCAACCTTCAATGGTTACTAACGACGTTATTGTAAAGATATGTAAATTTTTAGTGCACTCTCTTTCTGAGTTTGCAATAAAAATGAGAATGGGAACATTAGAGCGTTGTGTGTGGTTAAATGCACCTCAGCAGAAGTTACCTCTATCTGTCAAACAGAAGGATGATGTACATTGAAATCACATTCCCTTCCTCGTGGCACTCACATCTATCACCAGTTTATGGCCACTCTCCCCACTCCGGCACATTTCTGCTGTGACATCCATCTATGTCAGCATCCTAACTTGCATATCCGGAGGCCCGCGTTGTTTTCTCTGTTCTTTAAGTGTTCATAACATATTCTTGACAGGCCTCACTGCGTGATTTTCTTTGCATCTTGCGAGCTACTCTGGATGCTTCAAGAGTGGCTAGAAGAAGGTCAGATCTATTTTTTTCACAACTTAATGCCATGTCAAATGATGGTGAGTGAGTGGCACTTCTGACACGTGACTGGCCTAATGTTCAACATTAGGTGACAAGAAAAAAAAAAAAGCGCCGTTTCTTTACAAGATCGTGCTTCTGTTTTAATGACGACGTGGTGCTCAACCATTCAGCTGCCAATTTCCCAAGTCAAACTGTCTAATTTACATAGCAGGGAAAATTGTGGTTTTGTTTACTGGCAGCTATTAACACTTCCTGATACTGATGGAATATTTGTCTGCATGTATGACACGTATTCATGTCGCTGTTCATGCAGTCTCCAGTGATGTGTTTGTGAGTATAAATGCACATGCAAGTCCTGGGTGTCTGCTTCAGCACCACTTTAAGATGGGAAGGCTCCTCATACCCCTTCTTAATACAGTACACAGTGTGGTTGCTGTGTCTCGGTGTGTGTGAGGAGCAGGTAAATAGGAAAGGATCTAAATTATCCTACGGCTGCACTACAGCATTCTGGAGCAACACCAACACACAGATGCTGCTGCTGCTGTTGCTGCTTATCACAGTGCTGCAGTGTTAGGGAGGAGCTCAAATATGCTCTCAGCAGTAGCTTGTGGCAACTTCCTCCTGTCTCCAGATACTGTGAGCTTTGGTCACAAACTCTGTGTGTTGATATGTTGGTTAATCCTCTTTATTAGTCAATAAAACCCCATTACATTTACCACAACAAGTCTGCCAGCTACAACTACAAGACTACGAACAAGTAACTTCTGTTGGGGTGAAATAAGTCAGCAAGTTCTACCACTGAGGTGTCTTTTTAAATGTTTGTTTTTTCATGAAAGACGATGGACAGTTTCATTTCATCCGAGTGAAATCCTCTCAGTGTTCCTAAAACATTCCCAAAAAGACTGATGCACAAATGTTAGCATCACTTTCGGGCAGCGATGGCACATAAAAATAGGGGAGATGTGCATGAATTTACATTCTGCTCTTTTACTCATCAGGTTATCTGTTAACAAAATGAGCTAAAATAAATGGGAAACTAAATATTTTCTGATGTAACTGGGCTGCAAGCACTAGTCAGTCACTCACCTTTGCTTTACTGACATAGAAACTCCTCTTTACCATCAGAGGGCACTAAATTTCCACTTGATGCTCTCAGACAGGCATTAGAATTTAAATACCACTGAAATTAAAGCTAATGTATTATTGATGGACACGATTTAAAATGCTGGAAAAGTTTTCGAATTTGGTCATATTAAAGATGTAAAAAGAAAATCCCTCTTTCTCAATCCACATTTTGAAGGAACCATAGTGATGACTCAAATCTGATGCAATGACGCCCTAATTAGCCTGCTTTAACCTGCTGAATGTGGTTATTACCTGCACCCAACCAGTCAAGGTCTGACAAGGTCGCACTGTCTGCTTAAAAAAAAAAAAAAAAAAAAATCAGCTATAATTTCAGTGAAGAAGAATCAACTGTGCCACTGTTAATAAAGATTTCACATTGGCAGGAAACTGAGTCAAGGATTATGAAAAATCAGGGAAGGCAAAAGTTTCTTTTCTACATGACTTGAGGATGCAGTACATTTCCATTTTCTGATACCCCAACATGTTTTCTTAGAAGATAACATATCAGCAATGAGATGACTAACAGAATTTTTTGAAGGAAAAAAAATGACCCAGAAGAACAATAATCCTTTCAAACAAAACTGTGTTACAATGTCAGGGAAGTGCATTTGTATTATTTTTTGTTGTTGTATTTGTATTTTCCTGGTTCTGGTCTCACTAATCAGATCTGGACATCAATCTTTTAGAATGACAGAAGTCCTTTTTTTCACTATATGTTGACTCCGGGGTCAACATACTATGAGGAAAATTAAATAATCCGAAATGCAAGTCACTAAATACGTACAAGTATTATGATCATTTCTTCTGGCAATACAATCAACCCCAACGCAGGGTTAATTCTACCAGCAGCGCACTGGACGTGGCTTCCTGAGCGGATGAACAGTGACAGATGATGACTTTAGTGCCCTGAGGATTGCGGACAAGATAGTCAGTGATCTGCTATCAGCCATTTAACACCACAGAGTCCCAGCCGCGGCGGCAGCCAGGGAGAGCGACTCGATCTGAGCGACTTGTGGAGATAATTCGCTTAGAAGAGGGAGTAATATCGATCCAAACGGGGCATTCTCCGTCACACGGTTTAACCTCAAGACTCCCACCTCTTCTAACCGGACGGAAAGTCTTGAGGAGAAACATCTCCAGCATCGTTACGCACAACTTTTACGCACAGCCGGAGACACGCCGATGCACAGACCTCGACGCGCGGTCCATGTCACCTGCAACACGGACTACACCACAACTTCTACTCCCACAGGTGTGATTATGTTAAGTGTGCGGACTGCGGGGATGGATGAAACGATTCGCTCCATATTCTGCTGAAACGGAGCCCAAACCGCACGGACACAGGGAACTTGCTTGGAACAGCGAGCCGCGCCGGGTGCCAAAATGAGCGTTTTCTGGCAGAGCTGGAGGATCTTACAGATAGTCTTTGCAACAATCACAGCAGTTCTCCCGCAAGGTAAGTGACCTGGGACTAATTGGTTGCGTGTTGGGATGTTTTTTAAATCTGAAATACCCTTGAGGAACGTGCAGGTGTCGAAGTGCATTGAATTAATCTAAAGCCTCTTGGGACTGTCACTGTTTTGGCATCCATCGTCTATACTGTAATTAATGAAAACAGCTGAGAACAAATAAGCATTTAAACTGAACTCTCCATCTTGTCCACATGATGGGAGGTGGGCCTTCTCTCAGCGACACCATGCCTCCAGAAAAAACAGCCTTCTCTGAAAGTCTAAATAATAAATAAATGTCCTCATTTGAGCCACAAACTTACATCCTCCTCCACAGTGATACAGCGTTCCAGCGAGTCTGACATGAGCATATGTGTCTTACTTGCAGCAAAGGGGGTGTCACAGCAGCGAGGAAAATATAAAACATTTAAGATGAAATCAGTGAGGAGTAAAACACTTGATGGGGTTTTATTACAACTTGAGCCATGCCTTAATGCTCGGTACTTTGCTTCTCAGGGGGAAGTATTACGCTCCCTGATGGCTGTCTGCTCGGACCCCATTTCCACACACAGGAAGGCAAACAAGAAGCAGACAATCTGAATTCCCAACGTGATAATAAAAAAGAACAAAAGAGAGAGAGAGAGAGAGAGAGAGAGAGAGAGAGAGAGAGAGAGAGAGAAGAATAAAACACATCACAAAGGCATTTACTGTAAAGCCTATAACTGCCTTAGATGGCCATTTCTAGGGAATTCGGACTGGCTGATTTGTGGGGATAAAACGATGACAAAAATTGAGAAATTGTGATAAAGCAGTCCTTTAAAGCAGCTTTAAGAGTCTCATTGGACATAGCAATCCCCTACCAATCACTGCATAAGCTTAAGCCTCCCTCGATCTCTTGCTCTCTTTCCTCATCTCCTCCACCCTGTCCCCCAGCACTCCAGAGGATTGCATGCTATATGGTGTGCACTGCATCATCCTTGTGTTTTTGTACATTGTAAAGCACTTCCTAAAGCGTGTAAGATGAGAATGTAATGCTGTAAAGACTACTTTGTCTAAACTATGGGATTTGATGTATAAGAAGTGCAGTGGTCAAACTTTTATCTTGGCAAGTGCATATGAGCAGGCCTGCTTTACAGCTTTACTGCTGTCAGTCCATTTCACCGTGATGGCATGTAAGTAAATGGTACAGAAAAAGACAAATGCAGTATCAGTAAAAAGTTATGAACAACATTTTTTTCTGTTTTTTTTGTTTTGTTTGTAACAAATTGCAACAACAGAGTTAAGAACAGTTCTGAGTGAAAGCAAATCTTTGCGACTTTCATATCATTTGTTTCATAATAACTGAGTTAGGCTCCTGCAGTAGACATTACATTGCAGTAGCTATTTGTGTTTCTGCTACATAATTTATCTTCCACATCTTTTTGAATCAGTGTTTTCTTCCTTCTAGATACCATTTGATAATTAACCACAAAGCTGAAAGATATTTTAACGTGATGCAACAGTTTTTCTTTCCTTTCTTTTATATTATTGTTTATCCAAGTGGATATCTAAATGTCCACAAATAACATTAATGCAAGTCTTTGCATACAAAGACTAATTCATTGATTAGATGTCAGATCCTAATGAGGCCCTTTAATGGTCTATTAAAGGTAGATGCATTTGAAAGGTCAGCTGATCTGAGGATAAAAAACACACAGTGCTAACATTAGTTTAAGAACACAGTCTGCTACAGCTGCCTAATTAGTGTTATTAGCATCTAGGCCATTAACACCTTTCTATTTTTAAGCATTCATAATAAGCAGATTTTTATATTTGTGACCAGCGTTTGATCATGAATCCCAAACAGAAACACGAAAGAGAAACTTTGGGACGCAAATACGTCTTTTAAGCTCTCAATTACTAATTCCAATGCAGACATCGTTGTCTTCTGTGATGCTACTGGGAATCGCCTCACTTCTGCAAGCTGCTTTGCACATATGGTAAAAGCCATTAGTGCACATTAGAATTCACAAATGGTTGCCTGGGCTTTGTGCATTTTAATAGAATAATACAAAGATTGATTACAATTGAAGAAATAACGCTAAAAGACAAGCACACCGAAAAGCAGTTAGCCGGCATGCCAGTGAAAAAGAATTTAATATGGAGCCATAAGACAAACTGCAGGGCAAAATGTAGCTCATTAGATCCAACAGTGTTTTTATTAAAACTGGTGATGGGGAACATTATTTTGAAGTGAACATGCCTTTAATGAATAAAGTCACAAGCCTTTAAATAAGTTAACTTTGTTGTTACTTACATATACCATAAAGAAAACTCAAGTTTCTGTACTAAACTTTTTAGGTTTAGGTATCTTAAGAACGTTTCACTTCCATTTTAAAGCCTGACAGTAGAGCTCTCACTGGTTTCATATTTAAAAAGTAATATTATACACATGAAAAGTTCTATTTTAATCATAAAACCCTATCTGAAGTTAATTTTCTGATGTCAGTCAAAGGTAGTGTTAGTTTCAAAAGGTGTGTAAAAAAAAAAAAACAGTGTGTAAATCTGATTTCATACAGGCAGCATTTTCATTTGGACACGGAGGGATGAAGAAAGATTTAATTAACAACAAAACGCTGGCATAAAGGAAGTCTTCTGCTTTTTTCCTCATAGAAAGTACTTAACCTACATACTGTAGAGGAACAAAATGAAAATAAAGCAATAGTGCAAGACAGTGAACATGTTCTGTCTGCGGGAGAGCAGCCTGCGAGAGGTGGCTTTTAGAAGCAGCCGGGGCATCTGCATGGCAACACTGATGCTTTCTGACTCAGCCAAGGAGGAAGAGAAGCTCAGGGTCTTCAAAATGAGTGATTTGAGAGGCTGCAACAGCTGGTGCAGCGGATTTGCTCTCATGTTTATCAGTGGAGAGCAGGACTCTCATCATGATAGAAGTTTTTGCTTGCATTGGCTGGTTGTTAAATATCTAAAATATTGGCAAAGCAGAAGGGGGTGCGTCGCTTAGCCTGCCATAAACAAACAGTGCCTGCGGAGTCTGCCACCATATCCACAAATAGATTGTGTGCCTCATTTAAAGGCTCTCCTTCGGGTTTTATGAAATGAAGAGCATGTGAATTAACAAGAGGGGCAGAGATGGCCCATCAAACACAACTGTAAAGGCACGAGCTCGCATGTGAAGTACTTTGTTGCTACACTGGCGGTGTGTTCTCCCTCCTGGAGACAGTGAGCCAGTTTATATTCAGTCCAACTGGTGCTTGTGCCAACTCTGGTATTAAACAGCACATCTGTCACTGTGGCCACTAGTAGGCTAAGCCAGGGCAGACTCCAGTGTCTGCCTCATGCAGTGCGTCGCCCACTCAGTGAACATGACTGACACTCTTGTCTGTGTGTGGAGAGGATAAAAAAGATGCTGGTGTCTTCCTCTGAGAGCTGCCGGGCTGACATGATTGTGACACGTACAGTATAGTCGCTGCTGTGTGAACTGTCAGACCATCTTGACGGGCTCTTTGCCGGGGTGGATGACTGAGGATGAATAGCAGAAGAGACCATGATAGACGGACTCATCAGATGCCACCAGCACTGATGGACACAACGGGAGAGTTTGACGTAGAGAAGCTTCAAACCTTCTTCACTGGATAAATAGCAATTAATAATCCGGAGACGGACATCATTCCATGTGGCATCTTCTGTCACCGCCTCACAAAATGCATCTTGTCTATAGTTCTAGATATAGTCTCTTTTCTAAGACATGGTGACTTTTGGCCTACTAGTGGGATGATGGGTTTGATTTGCTGCTAAAGCTGTTTTTCACTATGCAATACCATGCTTAGTGCAGCTTCATCCATTTTGTTATAATCTCCAGAGTAAACATCAGTGTTTTTTGTCCTTAATTCACCAAGTAGGGCAATTAGCCACCAGATAAACAGTGCACACTCAGGTCAGCTGCTATAATCTTCATAATTCTATCAAAATGGACATTTAATGAGGACACATGATGGCCGGGTGAACTATGCCTCTCTCATCATCAAGCTTTTAGAGCAGATCAGAGAATATTTATGCCGTTTGTTTTTAGTCACTGATATAAAAGGTCATTCTATGCACTTGTGATCAGTATTTAACAGTCAGCCTGTAATCCTTGTAATCACGGCGCAAGTATACAGTTTGACACAAAACAAGTGACACGTAAATGTCTTGATGAATAATATAATGAGTAACATGACACTTCTTCAGACGTACTTCTATTTTTTTATCACTTTATTATCACTGTTAAAATCAAGTCTCCAGGTCCCTCATTTCTTACGATGACGCTCCACTTTTCTCGTTTTTTTTTTTTTTTTTATATTTTGCTTTTATTTTTTTTTTCCCAATGAGGATCTGCCTTCTGACAATCTGAAAAGCCATTTTAATCCCAGCTTCTGATGGCTGATTTCAACCTTGCGCCAGATTCCACCTTTTCTCCCCATAGGCAGAAAGCAGCTCATCTATGAGGGAAGTGAAAGTGGGGCAGTCAAAAGCAAAATGGAAATATTACTTGGGGATATTTTTAAAGAAAATATTACATTTCAAACCATTTTTTCAAACCATTTCAAACGGCATTTTTGCAGCATATATATTTTAAATAGTAATTTCTATCTAAAACAAAGTAATCATTTTTAGTATATGATTAGCTACTTGGTTAATTATCAGATGCTGCATGAGAACTATGGTGAACAATGGGCTCAGCAAATGGGCAGTGTATTGTAATTCAAATTCAGTAGGGTGAGTCCTTTGCTTTTTCTTAAATTTGCTTTTTATAGGAAATATTAAGAAGTCTGGAAAAGTCTTGCTTTTCTACAAAGACAAACATAAGGTATAATTGAAGAGAAAAGTGACAGGAGTGCTGCTGATGTCCCTCAAGCAAGCAAATAACGATAAAAGAAAGAACTAAAAAATTGCATTAAAAATCTAAGTCCAGGTGCTCCAGGTGGGTCTGAAAAGTAAAAGGCCTTTACTTTAATGGGCTACGAACATTAAAAAAACAAACAAACAAACAAACAAAAAACACCATCATGTGTCAGCTTGCACCCTGACACACACTAGGATTTAATTATGTCATTTCTTTTCGGCTATAATTCTTCCGTACTACTTTGTAAGGTTTGTCTTAGTTTACTTGATTAGCTTTACATTTTGACAATGCACCGTAGCAACAATCGTCCTAACATACACAAATAATAAGGTAATGACTAAATCAATAAGCCAGTGACCCTTCAGCCTCCTGCGCCACCTCGGTAATATTGCAATAAAGGCCACAGAGTTCTACTGCTGCTCCAAACAAACAAAAGCTGCAGCCTCAGAGACCAAAACACTTTTAAGCCTCTCTTGTTGTAATATACATTATTTCACCTATGTGCTCTGTTACAGGAATTTTAAGGTTAAGCTCAGAAACCTTTTAGTGTAATACTTTGATGGCCCACTCAGCTGATCAGTTGGCCTTGGCTGACCTTTGTGCTCACAGAATTTTCACCATATTTTACTCCCAAATGTAGGGGGAAATTCACTTCTGTTTTTGTTTCAAATACAGTTGCTCAAAAATGCGGTGAATATGAGCTATTCCCATGGCAACCAGCCAAGTGTAATTTTTCTATTTTTACCTTACAGATCTGAGCAGTAAGGAACTGACTGACAGTAAGAGTCCAGTGCCTTTCCCTGTCTTCTTGCCGGTCAACTACGAGGTGCGCGATGCCGACTACCTCTTCCTAAAGGAGGCTGGACAGGACTTTATGAGGAACTCCAGCATGCAGAGTCACACGCAGCCGTTTGTTATTTTAAGAGCCAGCCGGCAGCCAGCTGTCAACGCCAGCTATGGCACGATGTCCACAGAGAAGCTTGTGCCTCGAGATCTGGTCCAGTCTGTGCAGCTCTTCAACGCCCCGGAGGTCTTTACCTTCAACTGGAAAATCCAGACCTTCGTGCTGACGCCTCGGGTTTTTTCCTCCAAGCCCAAAGTGCGGGTCCTCTTCTATGTGGCGGGCAGGGATTGGAACAGGGGGGAAGGAGCTGTGGACGAGCTACCATGTGTGACAGTGTATGCTTTCTGGCAAACCCAGGAGGTGAGGGGTTCCTGTGCCATGGGAGGTGAGAGGGGAACCTGCATGGCCGAGCTGGCGCCTGCGCCTGGCTGGTTTGCTCCGGGGTCAGAGGGCACCAGCAGGGAGAGGCAGGATCCATCTGCTGGGAACCCTGTGGAGGTGTACTACCAGGCTCAGCCCAAAGTCAATGGGAAGTGTAATTCTGCGGATGGGAGTCGCTGGGGCGCTTCACAGCAGCAGGCCGAGTATGTTCCTGTGACTCCCATGCAGAGGATTGGCAGCGTGCGTCTTCTGCAGGTGCCTAAGGGAATGGCAACACTCTCTCGGCTCAAGCTCGGCAACGCCATCGTCATACGGACGTCCTCCAAACCTCTGAAGAAGACTGACATCGCTACCTTCTACATACTCATGGCCAGCTCTGCTCAGCTGACTAACTTCACTCTCAGGTAAAAACCCTTTTTTCTGTTGCCTCAGCCTGGTCAGCGCTGATGTGATTACACGGTGCCAGCACTGAAAGGGAAATATTGTCCCCACTTCATTGAGCTCTGTGAGTTCAATGAAATCCAAATTAACTGGTCAGTGTGAAAATTCAAACTGGGGCCTTGTTCACGAGCAGTATTAGTCATCTTCTCTAATTCTTGTACAAATCCTGTCCCTTCAAAAATAAGGGAATATTGAAGGAAATGAGATTTAGAATGGATTATGGTCTTTCTCTGAAAATATCATAGTGGTTAACTGTCTTTCTGGGAAATGGGATAGATTATTCGAGTGAGCGCAGTCTGATGACATTAAGGGCTGTTTCAAGAGTGGTAGTCATCAAGGTTGATATGGATCAAATAAAATCACGTGTAGCTTGTGACTCATTATTTCTCAGCTTTAAGGGCATGCTCGGGATCTGTGCTATATCTGTGCGCCGCTGCTGAATGTATGAAGATCATGGGGATTACCAGCATAGCTCAATTTAATTTAAGGCTCTGTTCTCATTTTTGCAATGCAGAATGTTCCTTTTTGATGGGAGATGAGAGCAGCTGTAGTACCATCTCAAAGAAATAGTTATCCCTCTGGAGGTCTCTGTGACATCCTTGGAAATGGAGGCCAATTTTATACGGATATTTTTAAAGAAATGCACTTATATATTTCCCAAGAACAAATGCATCAACCGCCTGACTTAATATCCTCTGGAGGGAAAGGAAAACACAAAAGAACAAAAGAAAGCAAAACAAGACTTTGTCTGTTCTCATGGCTTTCTCTCAAGATGACAGTTTGTTCCTCCCCTTTTCTAAGAGAAATGATGCAACGTGGGAGATTGGCACCACAAAACTGGATTTAAATGAAATGCTTCCAACTTGCTCTCACCGTTTCATTGATGGTTTTCATGGTCATCTGCAGCCTTTTGTTATCATCATTCAGACGGAGATCAAACAGAACCACGTTGCAGCAAAGTTAGATTTGATGAGGTTAGCTGTCAGAGCAGACAGGCCGAGATTTACGCTTACCTGATTAGAGAATGATTTTTAAAAAAAAAAAATCATTATTATTCAAGACACTATCTGTTTTACTCAAAGCCAGTGAATAATGGTCTGTCAGGAGGCATGAAAGGCATTTTCCTTACATGTCTCAGTTGTTCGTTTGGTTTATTTGAGCATGTCATGAATCTGTCTCTCATAAGCTATTTGGTTTCACGTCAAGTAATAAACGAGTGTCATTTTTAATCTTGTCTTGCAGTGATGTTGAGTGATGTCCAGAACTTGCCCTGACTTAGACTGACAAGAGAGCCCTTTAAAGCAGCAGTTCAAAAGTGTGTCTCTTTTTTTTTTCTTTTCTGCACTGTAGTTACAGTGTGACCCAGTGGATTGAAAAACACTGTAATACACAATCAATACTTCCTGAAAAATAAATACTTTCTAAGTTGCTTCCGCCTCAACCTGCTCATACATGCTTCAGTGGCGGTGAGCAGACGAGGAAACAGTCATGGATTATTAATTCTCTTTTTCAATTCAATTGTGCATGCAGGAAAAGGTAAATATTGACTTAGCTGACAGCTATGCATAAGTGCACTTGTCCTCCTAGTCAGCTTTCAGTATTTCTGCCAGGTAGTCACTTCTTTTTTGACGCCCCTAAAGAAAACAAAGACATTTGAAGCTGAAGACATTTTCATCCTTCGTTTCCTAAGTTGTAGAATTTCCAGGACTTTCGGAGAATCGTCAAATTGCATTTTAGATCAGAGCCTGCACGTTCATGCGCTTTAAAAGGTTAGACCACACATTTGAATTAATTATCTGGTTTCCTTTTCTTCTTGTCTCTTTATTTTAGCTGAAGCAATGAAGCCAAAAAAGAAATCCTCATTTCCCCTCCTCAGCCTGTCACTTTTAATCATTGCTGCTTTAATTCATTTACTCAGTCACACATATGGACATGAACAAAAAGCCTCACTTCTTCTTTCCTCTTGTCTCCGCTCGATGCTCATTCTCCTCTCCTCTCCTCTCCTCTCCTCTCCTCTCCTCTCNCTCCTCTCCTCTCCTCTCCTCTCCTCTCCTCTCCTCTCCTCACAGCTGTTACTGCACTTTGTTGGAAGATTGGCAATCTTGTTAGGAAGGTTTATAGCGATTTAACTTGTGATAGCCAATTACGTCCATACAGTATACATTGGTGACTAAGCTCTGAAATTTATTTTTTCCTGCAGTCCATAGATATCATACACTGAGTGCTCCTTAAAGTCACATAGTGTGTGACACAGTGCTACCCTCCTTCAGCTTATCAGCACATTAACAAGCTCTGTGCATCCGGTCCTCAACAGCTGTCTGTGTGCTTTATCACTGTCTGAATGTCCCATTAAGCTTTGCCTAATACTCTCTCATCAGCATGATAAACCTGTTATTGATGTCTATAGCCATCGTCAGGGGACATACAAATTTGAGGTCGATTGAGAAAAAGACAAGCCACACCTGTCCGTTCCAGCAAAATGAACCTGTCATTCTCAGTGAAGCTTTGATAAAGGTCATAGATAAAGTGTTGTCATTACACTGCCCACAAGAAGGGCAATTAGATTAACCTTTTCCTCAGGAAGTTGAGTGGAGTTAAGTTTCTTGCTCTCTTCTTAACAGCTATTAAAAGTCAGTGATGAAGTACAGTAGTTTGCCTTGTTCGAAAGGTTTTATTTAAAGGTGGCATTGTGGCAGTAAATTAACATTGAGCCTTTGCATCTACAGCACACTGTGTCAGTGAGCTTTTCATTCAGGGACTCTAATCATTCATCTGTGTGACAAATAGGGCTTTTACATCCATTTTTAGTGCTGTGGTGCCTGCCATCTGGCAGGAGCGTTGGCATAAACGTTTCCCCAACTCCCTAAACTGCCCCATAAGTACGATAAGCACGTTGCCGATGGCTGGCCATCAGACTGGCTAAACGGTGGACATTTGCCTGCATAATTAACGATTGCATCTGTTTCCGATCTCACTGGGGTTCAGTGGTGGTTCTGTGGCCCCGCGGTGATGCATTCACAAAGCTTAAGATGAGAACACAAATTATATCAAGGAAGCAATTACAAACTCTATGTAGCATCTCGATGGCAGCTTTGGTGATGGAATGCATCTGGGCCAGGCTGTCGAGCTCGCATGGAGGATGCTGCAATCCATCTTCAGGGTCTTTGATCACACTCAGTCTCTGCTTTATTGTGTTATGCATGTGCTGTTTTAAATTGTTTCATTGTTTTACTTTCTTTGTTGGCCATGTCTCTGTGATCAGTCAATATAAGTGTACAGAATACTGCATCCCACAGATAAATAAGGGAAGGGACCTGGCTGATGAAGACCAAGGGCCATCAAGGTCTGCTTGAAATGCATTTGGCAGAGTGTGTGTCGGCGTATTTTTGCGTCCTGTGTGCATTGTCTGGTGCGGTAGTATTTTGAGTGCGTGCATGTGTGTGTGCGAGTGAATGAAGAGTATGTAAAAGGTGAAACAATAGTGCCACTCATGCCTTGCCTGGTCAGAAGTGAGATGGATGGTAGGTGCAGCACCTGAGAGCTGCTTTTCTCACACACTGTCAGCTTCAGTCTCCACAGCCATCCATCTTCTGTGCCCCGGTTCCTCCCCCTGCCCACTGCCTCCTCAGGGCCTGCTAACTAAAGCCATGGACACTGGTTCCTGTTCCCAACCACTCACAAGAAAAACGCCTCTTCCAGTCACAGGGGATTTTCTTTTTTTTTTTTTTTCCTTTTTTTTTTTTTTTTTTTTACACATGGGGAGCTGAGAGAGACAGAAAAATGGGGGAGCTTTAGATAAGTCTTCTTGTTGCGGTCACTTTTTATTAGTTAAACCTCGCTCTACCACGCTCAATACACAGAGGTGTTTCATCACGGCACGTCACGTTATTCAGAAACCATTACTAGATTAACAGTCCTCCAAGGTTTTCTCGTTAATACACTGAACATGCCATCCTGTTTACCCCATTGATTATGGAGGATTAAAGTTTTTTTTCCCATTAGGAGCAAACTACACAATCAGACTGCACATATAAATGTCTGCAATCAGAAGTACTGCAATTAAAGACAATAAAATGTAATATGTTGTTAGTTGAAGTAAGTGTGAGATGAGCAGTGTGAACTTCGCATATTGCATGTGCTAAGTTTGATGCAATACGTGTAGATGGTATTTTATATAGACTTATTGGAATAAGCATGTTTCTCAGCAGCTGTAATGAATTATTCCTTAATGTGATGCCACTCTCATGTCTGTATGTTAAAAATGAAGCTACAAAGGACTAGAAGCTGGGAGATTTGTACAAAAACTGTCATGTTTTTATACTTTCTGTGTGTATAAAGTAGCTGCAGATCACATTTGATTACCAGTGCAGTGTAATGTGAAATAAAGCCGCTGATTTGCAAAGACAAAGTAATAATTAGTTTGTGGCATGTTATCTCCGTTGTACCGCTGTAGGTATTAACGTAGATACCAGCCTCCTTCTGTCTTTTTATCACCTCACCTTCATCCTAATCAGAAATCTGCAGCCTCTGTGAACCTCCTGTATTCCTCCTTTCCTCATTTAGACCAGACTGAGTGTTTTTCCCTTCTCTGTTGTTGGCTCTGCCGCCTCCTGGGAACCCTCCGACTGATAACAATGAACTGGTTACGCCGTTGTGTTCTCCTCTGTCATTCATTCTAATGCACAGAGAAGCTAGTTTCATTTACTAAACTAACACAGAGACCATACACTACCAACAGTACTTCCCTTCTTCTTCTTTATTTGACTTGAACTGCACTGGAGCTAGAGGTGATTTAAAAAGTCTGGGTTTTCAATTTGGAAGTTGGGTGTAACTCCTGAAATGTGGTAAAAGTGTCAGAGAGTGAGTATTTAGAGGCTTTAACTGCACTACCTAGATTATGGTAAATCACATAACAAATATTACGGTCATCAGTCTTCACTGGCTCTAAAAATGTGGCATTCAGCTGTGCAATCATCACCAAAAGGTTTTAATTTTCGAGACAGTTTTAGCACTACAGAAGACGATTTCAACTTTGAGCCCGCTGCTCCCTGGGCGAATTGTGTTAATCAGATAAATCAGCTTCTGTGGTGAGCAGCTGGAATGGAAATAGGCAGTCGCAGGGTCACGATGGCACAAGATTAAACCACAATTGAAAAAGACACTGCTCATCCCTTTTTAATTGCGACCCTTCACCTGTGAGCTCTTTGTCTGTATGAACACTGAACGGTGTCACAAAAAAAAAAAACCGCAAGATGAGCCAGATTCATTCATTTTGAAAAATGATGGATGTACAGCTGTTTGCCAAAGCGAGGGCTCGCACGCTACAAGCAGACACAAATGTGGGAAAAAAAAGTGCTCACAGTTATGTCAACATTTTAATTAGTAAATAATGCATGCCGGTAGACTGTTTTGTTTCACTGTGCGGAACGGGGAGCAGTGTCTTGTCTTCTTTCGCCTGGATTTGGAAGTTAAAACCAAGGCCAAAGCAGGACAAGTGCTCAGATTGCTGTTGCTCCTATCATAGATTACACCTCCTCAGAGACTCATAATGCGCTCAACACTTGTGTTTATCTCAAAGATTCAGAGATAAACCACATCGCTCTGCACGCAGATGAAAACCAAAAGAATTACACTCCGATGTTTCTCTGAACTATTTAAGACAACTTGTCCGCGCTGTAGCAGCGTATTGAGCAAATCTTGTTAGAGCATTAAGTATCTAAATGAAGGAGCAATGCATATGGATTTCTATTATTGCAACAGCAGATGGCCGGATATTTTTTCCCTTCTTCTTTTTTTGGATTTATACATGCATGCATCTCCTGGCCCTTCACAATTCTTGCAGAAGAGCATCCCATTAACATTTGACCTCCTGCAAGCTGCTTATGCTGAGAAAGTTCAGTGCCAAGGTCTGTTCTCCTGCGGAACGTACACCATTTACAAATTAGAGGCCAAGAAAACTAATAACTCATTAGTAAATTTTACATATTGAAAGCAGTATAAATAGAAAGAGCAGTGCTTTCTTTGCTCCTTCAATTGCAAGGAGATAAGTGTGTTTAAGGGTCGGGTATGGATGGCTGTATCACAGATTTTTGACATTTTCTTATACAATTTTCTCTCTCTTTTTGTTTTAAAAAATGCTCAATTTTAGTACTAAGCCTAATGAATATTCAGTTTCATCATCACATCTATGAGGCTGCCTTTCTGCTACAGAAATACTGGATTTATCGCCTCAACAAGTTCTAGTAGCGTGAATGAATTAAACCAAACCTACAGATGGATTTTCATGTGTAAAATCTACTGCACTCCAGGACTGGAAGCTCTACTGTGTATAACATAATTTGTCACATGCAAAAAAAATATAATTAAGCTGAAAAAATAGTATAAATGTTAAGTTAAATGTGAACATTATGTCACCTCACCACTTCAGCTTTAGAAAAATAACATTTCACTGCCTTGAATTCCTTTGGTTGTTAATTTGTCACATTTTACACTCAACACATTCTTGACCTTTTTGTTTCTGACTTTTCGCAGAGCATCGGTAAAGAAAGGTGTGACCTTTCGAACAGCGACACCCAGTAACTCTTTACTGTGGGACATCACTCTGGATATGGGTGCAGATGGAGCCATCGCTGTCATTTGTCAGAGAAAGGCGCCCATACCCGGCAAAAGGCAAGTCTGTTCACATCACATTACGCATGTTTGACCTCCAAACTTCCAACGGGAGTTTAATGTGCTGTTGGTTGTCAGTGTCTCTGACAAAATAGCACAGTTTTATCAGCATTTGTCTCTGCACCTACGGAGCAAAAGACAAACCGGTGTAGAGGTCTCACACCAGCTTACTGCTTGCTGTGCTGTGTCCTGGGACAGCATCTCTTACCTTCCTTCTAAGCACAGGTTGGCATCAGGTGCTCCTATAAACTGTCCCTTGTAAACACGTATTGCCTTTTTCCCTTTATTGCCCACTTCTCCTCTGCACTTTCATCATTTCTAAACAGCTTTACCAGCTGTGGACGTTCATGCATTCCCAGCATGCCGTAAAACTTATTTTAACCTATGACTTGAAAGCTGCAACAAAGCAAGACTTCAGTGAGCCATTTTCGGAACACAACACTAAAACTGTTTACAAGACATCTGCAGTTTGGTCTGATCAAACTCGGTGCTTTGGGCTACTAAGAAGTACTTATCTTGCTCCATAATCTCATTAAACAGGGCTACAACCTTTCTCCGACAGGCAGCCTCTCTGAGATGTCCTTTTAAGTTCAGCTCAGAGCAGCTTTGTTTCATTGAACTGAGATGAGTTGACTTCAATTAAGAGTTTAGTCATGGCTCGTGCCTCCTGAGATTACAAGACACCTGTTTAAAAAAAAGGCAAAGACTACAGAGTTAAAAGTTGCCATTTTCTTTTCAGGTCTTCTCTGTCGTGCATTATTGCTTCCTACTCTCCTGACTCAGTAAAAGTGGAAAATGGGGCTTGTTCAAGGGATGTTTGACCAGTTAACACGTTTGTAGTGTGCAGTTGACACGTCTAAGTAACTTTTGCTTCCTTGATGGCAGACATCGAACTTGGTTAAGTTAAACCTGTGTTTCAATACATTACATGGGCAGTCTTATGGATAGCTGAAAAATATATAAAAACCCAAAACAGCTGTGCTAACAGCTGTGTGAGGCACTACTTTGCAAAATCAGAGTTTCATTGACTGTATTTATAAATAGACAAATCCTCCATGATGTCACCTATGGGATTCCCGAACTGTGGTTTTGAAGCTCAGTGTGGTGGCTCTTTCCGTTGCCATCTTTGCAGCCTAAGTTCCATCTAATCCAAAAATGAGCAAAGAGGTGGAGGGCGAGTGGAGTCGAGACAAGCCAGCCAAATGTCTCTAGGCCATGCACTGTCCTGTAACAGAACCAACCTGTCACTCAAAAAGGCATGGTCCTAATCATGCATGATTTAATTTTCCTTTGAGAGATTTTCTTTTATCTGTAGGATGCATAAGCATTATTACAATTTAAATTCATGAGTTACTGTATAAAAATAAATCATGCCTTGTACAGTTTCATGGAAGGAGAAGTTAACTACAGAGACCAAAACCATCTTTTTTTCTAGACTGTAAACTTGTTCATTTCACCTGTATAGTTGTGCATTTTAACATGGGGATGTATGGGAACTCCCTTTTGGAGTTTGCCTCAAGTGGTCATTTGCGGAACTGCAGTTTCTGGCACTTTGCGTTAGCTTCCTTTTTTAAGCCTTGGAGGTTGTTGCTTGGTTCGTTTGGGCTAAATGCTGGCATCAGCATGGCCACATGCTTACAATAGTAATATTAGCGTGTTAATGTTTAACAGGCATAATTTTAACCACGTTGACTATTTGAGTTTGACATGTTTGCTTTCTAACATTGACTAATTAACACTAAACACAAAGCAGGTGAGCTGAAGCTGATGATGTCATTAGTTTTAACAAATCCAAAGCAAAGAACTGGACACATTTTGACCTTATAAGGGCAGTAAATAAAAAGATAAAGTTTCATGTTTCTGCAGTTCACCCAGAGGGAGATACAAATGTCTGCCTGCAGATTTCTCCCAAAGATGATAAGCAGCACAGATTCAAACTTCTCGGTGCGGTAAAAGGAAAGGTCAAGTGATCACTACAGTCAATAAGATTCATCCTCTGGGTACCATGAATGTCTCTACAAATGTTCTTGGGATACTTCAGCTTCGATAAATAGACCAACATAGCTTTAACACCAGCATGGCTAATAAGTCATCCAGCTCACCACTGTTCTTGCATGCAACATACATTCATACAGTTCTTTTTTTTTCTTCTAATACAAGCTTGCCAGTGAACCCAAAACCGGATCCTTTGAGATTTAATTCAAACAGTAAGATTATGTCTGCCTCTAGAGCAGCTCCAAGAAATGCTTCTAAAACTAAAGCTCTAATCTGTGTGTGTGGATGGTTGGCAAGGCAGGAAAAAGAGCAAGCAATTTTTTTTTTACAGGATGAAATAATACTAATAAAAGTGAAAACAGAGTAATAAATGAAAAAGTTACTTGACTCCAATACAGAATCATATTTAAAAATCCAGAGGCGAAATGTAGATTTGTGCAGTACTTTCATGAAACAGTAGACATCTCTCTTTAAACAGAACAGACACAGAACATTGAACTCATCTATATCGTCATTATTGGTCTGACCTCATTAAGTTGTTTTCCCCATTTGCCATGGATTATGACATTGTTTATTTCAACTTCTTTATGGGTTAACTTTTTTTTTTTTTTTTCGATTTTGGCTAATCCTCTCTAAAATGTCATGAAACTCACAGAACCCCTACCGACAGCGTGCACCATCACACCACTGTGGGGATTTCTCTCACTTTTTTTGCTTTCCTGGCTTTAGTACGCACTGAAAGCATTTGCTGTATCTGTACATTAAAGCTTTTTTATCCTCTGTTGCAGCGGCTTGGTTTGGATCTTAGTATTAAAGCACTGCTACTCACAGACAAACTGCCGGCCGTAAATAAGTTGTTGCAGCATCGTTCCCTTGCAAGCTCGAAAAGATTGACAGAGGGTGTAAACAGCAGCACAACATCCCCTATCTTATGGATATCTGTGTTAATGCCGACTTAAGAGGATATAGGCATGCTTTTGTGAGTCGAGCATGTCTTGTTTTGATACTTGACCAGATTGCAATGATTATCTTTTAATCTTAGGTCTCTGAGCAATATGTTAAAATTATTAAATTACACTAGATCTGTCTGTTACGGTTTATGAAAGCAGATATAATGGAAGTGTGACAAGAACAGACAAGGCCTTTTGCATGCTTTGTTGTTGAGTTTGGAACTTGATGGAGGATTAACAAAATGTGATTTGCGGTTTCTCTAACTGTTGTTGCCTTAATGCAGAGGCGGCTGGTGTGCAGCCCTTTAGAGGTCATTTTCATGCAGTGAAGAGGACTTAGCCTGTTTCTGCACAGCCCTGACATAGATTTATAACATGTACACACAGATGTAGTGACTCTGATAAGGTCCATGTGGCTATTTGCATGCTTATTGTGTTTTTGTCCACCAATATATCTTTTCTGTTCAGTTCAATACAGTGCCAAGAAACAAAAGCCAGGATCCGAACTTGGGCATGGGAGAAAATTGAATCCATGGCTAGGACACTCTGTTCTAGCTGGCATCACTCAGAGGCCATTATAAGTTACCAAGGCTTATTATATTGCAGGATGCTACTGTCCTCGGACCACCTTTTATTCTACTCACATTTTACACTACCAGAAACTCCAGGGAAGGGCCAGCAAAGAGAATTTCTACTCTGTTGTTTTTTTTTTACTTTAGTTTATGAAAATGCCTAGAGATGCAAAGCCCTCACTAAACCTAAAAAAAAGGGGGAGCATTGTATCTTGTCACAACTACTGGAATCACATCCTCTTCTAAAAATGTCTCCACTTTTTATCCATGGGGCCAGATTCATGACATGTCACTATGCATTCAGAGCTGGATATCACAGAAACTCCAGCCTCAATCTTAACTGCTCTCTATTTTTCTCTCAACAGGCCCAACAATTTCAAAAAAATAATTGCAGATTTAGCCTATAGACATTAAAATGACTGAATATATACATTAGAGCATGTATGGTCTACTGGTCATTGCCCTCTAAATAACACATAAAGCCTTTGCCTTATACAGTAAATCAATTCTTGATGGTGGTTTTTGAGCTTTCAATATATCACAGCTACAAAATCATTATCTCAATTTCTTCATAATTTCTATATTTATGAGACTTTTACACATCTTGGCATCATAATGAAGACAAAGATATGATAAGCACAGCTTCCAAGGATGGTTTTATCAGTTGGAGGGTCAGCCACTTTGCTCCAAACTGAAACATCCATTTCAACTAGTGAATGGACTGATATGAACTTGTGCAGAAATGCATGCAAAAATAAACCAAATCAAATACTTTAAAAAACCAAATGCTTGCTAAGTAAACATCAGTATTTTAACATTGTTACTTTGTGGAGCTAGTGTGTCTGTAGACTGTTGTTGAAATGTCAAATTAAATGTCCACCGTCCTAATGCCATGTGCGCCTGCTTCAGACTCTTTGGTCTCCAGTAACCATGACTTTGGATCTACACTGACTTGCCCTGCAGTGAGAGCACTGAGCCATGGGCTGGAACGCACGATACACTGCTAAATAATCACCTCAGATATACTCGTCTCTTCAAAAACTTGTATGAGAGAAGAGAATCGGAGCCTCCAGTGGAAAAATGAGCATCGGTGACTGAGAAGGAATGATTAATCTCACTGCTGCTCATATACATAATGAAGGTGTCTAAAGAATTAGATTCTCCAAGCAGTCAAAATACAAGACAACATAGTGCTGCATGCACCGGGTAATGAATATGATATTGGGAATTTGTCTTGTTAATCTTTTACACGATATTTTTTTGTATTGGAATTAAAAGCAGGTATGTTTGTATTATTTGCACATTTCATCTGTCTAACTAATCCCGCTTTTTGAATCACATCCAGGCTTGAAAGCAGTCTACTGGAGGTACTTCAGATGGATTTCGAGGTTGAGGAGCTGAGCACTCCTCTTGAGAGTCAGGTGATCATATGGAAGCTGGAGCTGCCGTCAGCATCCAAAGCTGTCGCCAAGACCGAAGGAGCCATGAGGATCTATACCACTCAGAGAGACTTCGTCGGCCTCGCTCCTCTCATAATGGTGAGCTTGACAGCTTTCGTGTCACACCTAATCACCACAAAAACCGTCATTGATGTCACTGGCAGCAATGTTTCCAATAATGCCAACACTTGGTCTGCATCCTTTGAGCGTCGGTGCATGAAAATATCATAAAATGCACTTTGCTCTGATCCATTCCTGTCTGGTTTGTATCCACAGAAGGCTGGATATGCTTTGGATTGTTTAGTAAATGGGTTCTATTTTGAGCAGAGAGTGACCTTGTGTTGTTTACTGTCAGCCAGCTGATGTCTCTCTTCTGTGTTGTTCTGCGCTGTTCTAGCGTGCAATATGTGGTCATCCTCTCCTCCTAACAGCTGCTTCATGTGCTTCTATTTTGGTGCTACAGGCCTCTTTATCATCCTTCCTCTATAATTAATCCATGATATAATCTCTAAGTACTAAAAACTAAACATTACAGAAGTTTGATTTACAATATTGCACCTGAGTCTTTGTCACCCAGTCACTGATCTCTTACTGAAACATTGTCTGGAGGGAGAACATGAACTTTAAATTTGTTCAACCACATGGCATCAATGAAATATATTTCTACACGTAAAAGGACTACTTTTAGGGAGCAGGTTAGTCATATTTCACAGCACAGGATAACTGCTGCATTTCCATCATCCTGGTGCGTGAAGTTATGAGGATATGCTACAGTATCCTGATTTGTGAATTTGACATGGTTCATCTCTCATGTGGATTAGAAGCTGACCTCAGGCTGAGGGCCAAACATGAGGAGATTTGATGGTTGGCTCAAGGGGACATTAGCGCTGACTGATCACTCTTAGCCTTGCTCCATGAACTCCAGCTATTGCTGCTGCTCAATACTTCTATATAACGGCGAAAGCCTCACCGACGCAGCCTTCAGAACGACGTTTTAGGTGGGGAAAAAAAAGGAAGTTTGGTTATTTCAGCTTCATTTAAAGCGGTTTTACAGTCGAGGGATACATATCCATCTGCTTCATTTTCATGCTCAGAGTGGCCAAGTGTCGCTTTAAATTTGATTTAGCTGATCATTCACGGAACTTAACTGAGCTGCGCTACGCTGCTCTCATACTAATTCACACATGATATTCTATTATTTCAACTTCATTTAAAACAGTGTTTTTTTTTTCGAGGACAGCACATATCCATCTGCTTCATTTTCCTGCTATGATTACCCAAGCATGCATAATGCTTGTCTGTACAAACTCACAGAGTGCCATAGAGAGATCCCCAGCACTACTGCTACTACTAATAATTGTATTTATATCAGTTCATGTAACATTAAATGGCCTGCATTTATAAAGCAGTTTCATCCAAAGCGCTTTAGACCACATCTCTCATTCATCTATTTAAACACACACGTAACCAGCTACTGACACTCCAGACACCTGGAAAGCGGGAGCCAGGGCTTGAACTTGCTGAACTACTTACTCTACCTGCCACAGTTTTCCTATTTAATAATACGATTTAATAAAGAACCGGCTGTCCTGTACATGTTTAAAGACTATTTTTGGTCCATGCCCCTAGTAATATGGCCATGTTTGAACTGATACAGCATCCCTCTGAGGGAAAAGGCTGTGCAGAGAAATCCAAGATTAGCTCTCCCTTCCGTGTGGTGACCTGACCATCACCCAGTCTTAACTCTTCTCCCCCGTTCGCATCCCAAGGGGGAGGACTTGCCTTCTTACCTGAGAACTGCTGAGTCAGTGAGTCACACTTCATCACCCATTTCTCCTCCCGTTTCTCCTTCACTTATATGTCACACCTTTTGCAAGAACTTTTCGCTGCCTGGCAGCTTCACCACACAAAATGTAAAACTAAATCGTGAAATTATTGGATAAGGTGTGCTATTTTAATGTGTTTGCTCATTTTCTTTTACTCTCTGCAGGACACTGAGATCCTGAACACAGCTGTGCTGACCGGAAAGAAGGTGGTGATGCCTGTGAGGACTGTAGCTGTGGAGGAAGATGGAGTAGTTACCGATGTATCCGACTACACAGACTGTAGCTCCACTGATGAAGACGTTCTCAAGGTAGATTTTCCTCTTCCTCCTTTTCACGCATCTCCACTTACTATGCAAAGAACAATATCCTTCTGATTCATCATGTCTAGTTTCTTTGGTTCAGTGGACTGTTTCATAAAAGGCTTTGAACTTGTTTCAGATTTGTTTACATCATTATTCAACCTCCGTCGCTTTTTGCTGCAGCGGCATTGTGTAACAATGTCCAGTCCCTTGTAATGAATAGTTACATGGAACAATGTGAGTTGTTTGTATCTAGCCTGCCTGTCCTGATACTGGGGGGCAGAGGGCAATTTAAAGTGGTTGTTAGAAAAACGGGGCAAGGTTGGCTTCATGTGTGATGGGAAGGACAGCTGCAAACAAATAAGTTGTACCAAAGTCACTTTTGCTCTCTGTCTCTTTTCCACATGGTAAAACAAACTATTAGCTAGACTCCGGCAACATCAGCCATCAATCTCCCCGGCAATGAACAGCTACTGTGCTACATTGCTCACCACAAATGACCTCACAGTCCACCACTGTGCTCCCATCCCGTGACTTGTCCCTTTTTATCCTGTGAACCTGAGCACGGCTGACTGCCAAAAGCCGGCTTTACTAATGAAATTGAAAGTCAGGCCTTTGGGTCTTAAGGTCAAAGGCTGTGAATATATTTATTCAAGGATAAACAAAGAATGAACCTGTGCAGTGGACTCTAGCTGTCTGATACATTTATTGTTGGTCAGATATGGGCCAAATTGTGTAGATTATTTCTACATAAGGAGATTCACCATATACGATATACTGTAAACATACAGGTATTACGTGCAGATGAGTGTCAGTTATAAGGAAAAGCAGGATTACGTGAAGATGTCAAGAGGGTGAATGCTGACTGTGTACATTTTTTTGAACCCTGTAATGCAGCTATTTTGGTGCTGTTTGCTGTAAATCTCAGTGTATTTGAGCGCAGATACCTTTTCTCTTCTGATGTGCCTGAAGAGTATCAAATGTGCTAGAGATAAATGGAGAAGGATTTATCTAATTGACAGCTTACGTGACAAAAACAAAGAAAAACAAAGTTTAATCTGCAGCGATGGAAAGGTTTTTCAAATGCGAGTGATGAAAAGACCTAAAACTTTCACTTTAGGACTGAAGGACATTTGAACATTTCAAACAGGGACATATCACACATAGATGTGTTTCTAGTTGATTAATCAGGTTGTTTTATGTTGTTGGTCGAATTTACATCAAGCATGAATTCAGTGCAACACTTGAACTTAATTTGCCCCTCTGCAATAGATATATTCATTGTGCATATTTATTAAAACTCTTGTTTTATTTGCACAAGGAAATTACGGCCTCGGTTGTGTCACTGAAGCGTTCATTATTTGAAATTTATGCCTGTCTTTAAGTAAGTGTACCCAGTGATGAATGCTAAATCCCTTTTTAAAAAAAAAATCTCTTTTGACACCAAAAACACTGAGGGATATTCTTGGACACAGAATCAGATTGTGACTACAGTGAGTGGGTGGGTGGCGCATTAAAATGGCATTCCCTTTTAACTGCTGCTTCAGAATATTATTTGAACACGGCCCATGTTAAGTTCAGTGGAGCTCTTGGAAGATACTTTTCTAAAAAAGAAGAAATGAGCAAACTGCCTTAGATCATGGATGACTGGTTGACTGCTTCCACACTGAATTAAAACATGAGATGACTTCACTGAAAATCAGTCGGCCCTTGTCTTGTTGTTCCACGCCTGCGTTGGAAAATGTTCTGTGACAACCATTCAAGGGCTTCAGTGCCACATATTGTAAATCTGCTGTTTGGATGTAAAATCAAGCATAGGATTATTTGTAGAGATGTCACTGCATCTCAGTTAGCAGCAAGGATGACACACAGTGATGTGGTCATTCTAAAGCTTAAGCTCGGCTGACGGATGACTGATGCTCAGATGCAATGATGACACAAGACCCTCTCAAAAATAGCGTGTCCCTGTGACAGCACATCCTCTAGCTAACAGTTGCGTTCACGCAAATGAAAGCAGGAAACTATTTGCTATTTGTATTCCTCCTTAGGCAATCTGTCAAACTGATTTTTTTTCTCCCTGCTCTCCTCAGTTCCACCGGTCAGTGACTGAATTTCAATGTTGTGTTAATTATCTAATTTGTTTCAAGCAGCTGAGAGGCTGTTGAGGGGACCAAGGAAAACCTCCTGACACGCGTCTCTAAATGTCCATGAGATCTTTGAGCAGTTGCCTGAACTTGTAAAGGTCACCTTTGAAATTATGCTGTAATGAATGCACTTGGCTGTGAAGGACTGACGTTCAGAACTGCACCACATGATATTTTGATTTACATAAAATGGCAATGCTGCCTCTTCCTAACGCTTCGGACCGGTGATCATCGCAGTAGTTTATTACAGACAGCTGACATTACTTTGGTAACACATGCAGTGCAAAACTGCTGCAAGGCCATTTGTTGTTGTAAGAATGGCCTATTTGTTAAAATAGTGACTTTTATGAGAATATTTGATTATTTTTTGTCATTGGTTAGATGACGAACACCTCCTTCATTGACAACTATTTCATTCTGAGTTTGATCTAGATTGTTTACAAAAGTACACTTAGACAAACTCTTTGATATTATCAGGGAAATAAAAATGATACAATATTCTGATGGATTGCTAACTTTTTGTTTTATCTCCTCTTATCCAGGTGTCAGACAGGTGCGACTATGTTTTTGTAAATGGCAAAGAGACGAAGGGCAAGGTGAAGATGATAATAAACTTTACCTACAGCTACCTGAACGCGCAGCTTGAACTGAACGTGTGGATGCCGCAACTCCCCCTCCAGATTGAGCTGTCAGACACAGAGCTGAGCCAGATCAAGAGCTGGAGGATACCCATCCTAACCTCAAAAAGGTGGGAGACGTAAACCGTTTGCTTAACATAAACACTCCTTTTATTGGTGTTGAGCGTGTTTTCCAGAAGCATCCTTTAGTCCATACAAATCCAAATCATATCTGTCTAAGGATTTAGGGGGTTGATTCCATTACATAATGTACTTCAATATCTCAATCTGATCCAATCAAGCAAAGAGACAGGGTTGAGTGATTGGAGTAGAGCAGGTGAAAGGCATTTACCATGTGACAGGTGTGACCTGCATGTTTGTTTTTGTGCTTATCTCCTAGATCTGGCTGGAACAGTGAGGAAGATGACCGCAAGGGGAAGGGCTGCATGCTGCAGTTTCAGCATGCCCTGGTCCGGGTGCTAACCAATTTCGTGGCAGAGCAGGCAGACCCTCGAGATCCTAAGGCCTATTTCCTGGGCACTGATTGGCAGGTAGATGTCACAAGGTTGGTTCGATACTTCATGAAGGTGGAGGACCCTCGAGTGGCAAGGCTACAGGGAGGAAGGGTGTTGTCGGGAAGAGACCTTGGGACCACTACCATCCAGGTAATAAACTGAACCAGTGATTGGCCCAAGAACAACTTTCGTCAGCAGCTAATCAGACCCTTGATTAGATGAAGCAATTTCCTCTTTAGGTAGACAAAAGCTTGTTTAAGGCTTTAGGACAGTAATAGTAAAATAGTATTACTTCTAATAGTATTACTTTGAACAAAACTGGTTCCAACAAAAACAAACACCTGACAGTGTAGCTCATTTTTTTCTTACCTGATGTTGTTCTGTTGCAGATATTTTCTCCACTGTCTGATGCCATCTTAGCTAAGACAACTGTCAAAGTCGTGGATGACAAAGTGACAATCACAGAGATGGGGGTCCAGCTGGTTACAGGCCTCTCTATGACCTTGCAGCTCAGTTCAGGTAGCAACAGGGCCATCTTGGCTACCACAACCACACAAGAGGTTTTGCAAAACCCCAAACAGGTAACATCACATACCTTTTTAAAAGCGTTGGAGAAAAACTTTATATTCAAAGTGCAAATACAATTTCTATCATTTTCTCTTCTTTTAGGAAGCTTTGGTGAGTGCCTGGTTACAGTTCAGTGACGGCAATCAGACACCTCTTGACATCTATGACCCAACCTACCACCGTGTGACGGTGACATCTCTGGATCAGGGGGTGGTGTCGGTGCAGGGTACACCTCCAGTTGTTGTGGCAGAAGGAGAGGGTGAGGGAGTCCTGATCCGAGTAGAGATGTCCATCTGTGAGGCCTGCCAGAAGTCCAAGCGCAAAAGTACTGTCGCTGTTGGCAACGGCAGCCTCAAGGTCAAGTTTCAGGTGAACACTCGGCGGCCGGATGGCAACACCAGCAGCATCGACAGCAGCAGTGTTAGCAACAGGGACAATGGCAGTGACTACGGAAGCGATGGGGAAGAGGTGGACAGTGAGAGGAAGCAGAGGAAGCCGTCTCAGGACACTCCACCTCGCATCTCGAACTCAGACAGAGAGGAGAGTGCCATGCAGAAGATCACAACCACCATCAAATCTACAGAAAGAACCTTGATAACCAGCGGCAGCCTTGGAGGTGTGGGTAAGACCAGTAATTCAGGAAACCCCGGCAGCCCTACCAGTGTGCTGAATGTCAGCCTGATGAGCAACCCCAGTGACAGCAGCAAAGGATATGGCTCTGACAATATGATAGTAGAGGATATGAGCAGTGTTAGCTTTACTAGCACTGTGAAGGCCCCTGGGAATCTGGTAAACTACAACAACTTCCCCACCAAGGTGGAGATACCTGGACAGGAGACAGCAGAGGTAGAAATTGGTGGTGAAGACATGTTGGCCAATAGGCCTCTCACAGACTTAGAGATTGGCATGTACGCTCTGTTGGGTGTCTTTTGTCTGGCCATCCTGGTGTTTCTGGTAAACTGTATTTCATATGTTGTTAAGTTCAGACACAAGAAGCCTCCCTCCCATGGCCAGGAGCCCACAGGGCACAGGCATGACTGGGTATGGCTCGGCACAGATGCTGAGCTGGTGATGAGTGTGCCAGGCAGCCCGGTTCAGCAAGACTCCCAGACTACAACCACGGTTATAGACATTGGGCCTGATAAGACTGCCTCTCTTTCCAGGAGGCCCAGTTGTCTGGCCTCTGTCACAGACTCTCCCCTCAGCTGCGTAGGCTCAGTCAGGAGCAAACCTGTGCACAGTGAGTCCCTCCACTCGCCCACCAGCAAGAGAAAGAGAGTCCAGTTCACCACCTTTTCCACACTAGAGCGCCAGCATTCGCCACATCTCCCGCCCAGAGAGAATGGCCATGGCATCCACTGGGTTGGGAAGGAGGACAGCTGTGGGGAGGAACCTCAAGTGCCCATCACAGAGCCTGGGGATCAGTTATAATACAGGACCTGATCAGACCTCCCATGTACAGTAGATGTGGCTTTGATCACCTCAATGCCTTTGTCAAGTCTGACAACTGTCAAAAATGTGATTTTGGAATCGCCCTCCTCTACATTTCATTACCTATCAAGGCCTTTTACATGTACATGTACTGTATAATATTGTTAATAGTGGAGAGTGGATGTGTGTCATAATGTTTCAGATGGCTGATCAGATGGACTCTTATTTACACAATATTTAAAGCCACCGTTTATGCTGCATGTGGATATCTACTTCTCTAAATTTTGCACTCACATGCTGGTATATAAAGTAGAGAGACACACTGAAAAATGTCCCAGATTACAAATATATTAAATACCAGTTGTACTACAGAACTCAGTCTGAAAGATATGGATTTCACCAGAAATGTGGCTTTGATTAAAAATAATACTAACTAAAATGGGTGTTTTCTATTATGAAATATAGAACACCCATTTCTTTGTAATTTGAAGTTGATTCAATTTTCATTTGTTTTTTTCATTAAAACACTATGATCTTGAATATTGCCTACCATTTCATTTTTCATCTGCAGTTTGCACACTGCTTTTTTTTTTTTTTTACAGAGTTCAAGCCAGCCCATGCCGGAGTGTGCTGTCTAAATCAGATTTTGGCAGATTGCAAGGACCTTTTGTGCCCCTTTGTTTTTGCTGGGCCATGAAATGTGTAAAATCCAACCACTGCACTTTACTAAAAAATGGATGGGGCAGTATGAAGATGGAAAATCCTGCACTACATTTGAAGAGGTCTGAAAAAGGAGAACCTCGGCAATTTATTCAGTGAGACAAAGAGTTTTTTTTTTCTCCTAATAGAGGAATTTATAATTTTACAACTGTAAAACAATTCCACATCCCCAACCAGTCAAAAAAAACCAGTGAAGTTGTTACTCTCTCTTTTATTATGCAGCATGAATAGAACAGATAATTCATATATTTGCTATAATTATACTAAATCATAAATAAAAACTTCTCACCTTATTTCACATGCATAAAATATATTAATGAGACAAAAAAAAACATTAAATCTTTGGTTCAAAGTGCTCTACAGCATAGTTTTCAATCTGGCAGTGCAGATAAACGAGGTGTATTTTGTGCAAATAGACACTTGTAATTGTTATACTTATGCAAGGTAAATATATATAGATATATGTATATATATATATATATAAATGTAATGCCCTGTTTTTTGCTGCTGTAGTTCCTGAGAAAGTATACAGAGTAGGGTTGATTGCTGACACCTTACACTCAGTGTAGAGTGTCCACCAGGCGCTGGTAGGTTTCTCTCTCCTGTTTGAGGCTGTGATGCTCTTCCACGTAGCATTTTCCATTTGTCACCACTCGCTCTCTCAGCTCACGATCTGACAACAGCCTCTGAGATTGATGCACAAATTCCTGGCAAGGATAAAGGCGAAATGAGTCTCATTTACTGCCAAATGCCACTTAAAGCTTGCCAGTGAAGGTGCCTGGAGATATGTTTTTTTTTTAAAGCATAAAAAATAATCCAAAGCACAAGAACAGAACTCAGATAGAAGCCTGTGCACAGATTAGGAAATACTTCAAAAGTGTCTGTACATTGCCAAAGGAAGGAGATATTTGTGGCTTCAGATCCAAATGCGGACATCCAATAGACCTTTTCAGTCTATCCTAATTGCTGCCACCTCTCATTTACTTATGAAGAAGGGGAAAGACTAGCAAAATAAAAAGTTACAGTCAAACGATACTGCCCAACAAGCTGCCAGTTGGTCATGGGGAGGAAACCATGAAGATAAGAAATTGACAATTAATAAAGGAGCATTGACTGACGTGTGATGCAACCACACAGCATCCGGAATCCTAGTTGCTCATCTGTTGGCCCGGCAGCCTGAGAGAAGCCTCCAACAAACGAAGTCAAAGTGCCTTGAAGTGTTCTTGCAACATGGCAGCCAACATTTACTGCTCCAGAGAGCCAATGGGCACACAAAGTTTTAGCCACTGCCAGTCAGCAGGCCACTTCACTTTACTTCACTTCAAGTGATGTGATTATGTCTGGAGAGGCTCTTGGTAGGAAACGGCTCTTCTGTATGGCCATATGAGCGCTATAAATCCTCAGCAACAGGATTAAAGCTCAACCTTTGAGCGCAGTGCTTATAATCACTTCACTCTTAGTGCAAATTATAGAGCCAGACAGGAAAGGCCCTTTTTCCTTTTAAAAGCTAACAAGTGCTTGTGTGTTTGGTTCTTTTGACACATATCTTGATAACAGTGTTTTGCTGTACCAAGAAACCAAAAGAAGAAAAACACTGAAAGGGAAATATTCAAAAACTAATTGTTTTATTCATGATATTTACCTAATTTATTTGCACTCATCTTATTCCAGCTGAGTGTGGGAGTCTCTGCTGTGTTCTATTTAGTTTCATTATGTGTTTTGTTTTATATGCCGGTGGGGACTGCACAGCCACCCATGGGAACCTCCTGTCACTGTGGGGACCAAAGCAAATTCACGTTCCCACGAGTACAGACAGCTTTTTGAGGGTTTCATTTTGGTTTGAGGGTTAGAATTGGATTATGGTGAGGGTTAGGGCTGGGCATTCAATCGTGATGGTTGGAGTAGAGGGCGAGGGAATGCATAATGTCAATGGAGTGTTGCCGTGGGAATAGTGACGCAAACATATATGTGCATGTGCGTGTGTGTGAGCAGGGGTACAAACTAAGCAGTGCAGAGCAGAGACAGGTGACGTGAAGATAATGTAACTCCAGCTGACAGCAGCTAGTTACATTAAAAGCTTTTGTTGATCCGAACAAAACCAAAGACGGACAGACGTCAGTCCCATACGTCATAAAGTCAGACCAAAAATTATTGTCAACAAACAGTTGGATTTTTAGCAACAAAATTAAACAAACCATTAACGAAATTTAATAAATAGACAGAGAAGCAGGTATGGAAAAGTCTCTGCTATCATGTAATTATGTCTTAATGAAGCAGAAACACTTTCAATCAAACATGCAAAAGAAATCTCGAGTGTGAGACGCTGCTGGCTGACGATGGTTCACTGGCCATCGCTCCTGACTCAGGTCGTAGTTTATCCGGCCCAAGTTGAAACCATCTGTGTGAGCTTCCTACTAGCAGCTCAGCAGAGCACACGTGCAAAGCGGACTTAACTCTGCCATCACAACAACATCACGCCACACAGTGTCTTGACAGCACCGGGCTTAAGCCCTCTGTTGACTGGCCTTGGCCTACGTTATTCGCCCTTTGCATCAAGCCTCATTAAATATCAGACTGAGCAGTTCTCATGGGGGCTCCCCGTTTTGCACTTTCCAGCTTGCTGCTATGTGTTGCATCACTACGTGGTTTCTTTGTTCTGCCCCTAAAGGCTGCACTTTTTGATTCTAATCTAAGCACCTGAGGAAACATAAAATTAAATATAACAAAAGGAAGTGCCTTTTGTTATATTTTACCTGCTTAGATTAGACTAATGATAAGAATTTAAAGCAAAAAGTTTTACAAAATGAAGTAAAGTTGGAGTTTTTCTAAATAAAATCATGAGTCGTTTCTAGATACCATATCCTAGAATACTGTATCTTACTTTTTTGGTCATCTGATGTGACAGGAGTAGCTGCAGCTACAGTACCGCTTTATAGAGAGAGGCAGTGTTTATCGACTGCAAAGCTTAGCAGGACTTAATGCACGTGGTGACCCGGTCAGTCAGTCACTGTATACCTGAGGTGAAGAGTACAACAGGCCAGTGATCTCATGCTGCACCACAGCTGCATTTCCTGGAATGTCCCTGGCCAACACGGGCACCCCGAGATCCATGGCCTGTGGGGGCAGAGATCATTAAACACAAAGTGACACACCAAAGTTTCTTACTCCTTCTACCATTACCAGGAAGAATGCACTGAAGCGCTTCGAAAACTGTACAGCCTGGCTATTCTGCTCTTCAGTGCAGTTCACTTAAAGAATTAACAATCTGCATCAGCTAATACCTTCAGCAGGTTGTTGAGTGAAACATGCTAACATACTATTAGGACTTTAAGCCTACTGTGGATTGTCTTAATTGGCTAAGTTGAAAAGAGATTAAGTGGATTTGGAGGGTTTGCTCACTCAGGAATGGAAAAGATTGGAGTCTAACAATTAATTTGGATAATTGTCCCTGAAGTGGCCAGATAACATTGTGGCAGAGCAACAAACAGTGAGACGAGAACAGCTGTGAAATATTTGAAGGATTTAGATTTTTCTAGAAGGGCTTTAGATGACACATTCTCAGTGAATATGTTGTAAATCAAATTCCCATCACTAAGCTATTATTCATGTTTCAGTCTTAAAATGCTGTTGTCTAATTACCCATGAGCCCCTGAAGATGTTTACCTCCAAGATGGCTGCTGACATGCCCTCGGAGACAGAGCTGTTGACCACAGCGAAGCACCTTTTCATGGCAGCGTGAAGCTCCTGTTGGCTCCTCTCCTGGGCCAAGAAAACCCCTGCTGTTCTGCAGAGGCAGTAGCAAAGCTCAGTTCTGCGTGACTCAGGGCTCACAGAGGCGTGAATGATGCTGAACAGCAGTGACAAGCTCAGGGTAAGAAACACGGTTGCACTATGTGTGACATGCACGGCGCGTCCAGGTAAGGTCTTAACCAGAGAGGGCAGCTTCCTGCTGCAAAGATCTTTGTTGTGGTGGAGGCCCTCAGCAAAAAACTGAAAGATCTGCCATGACTTAAGAGTGGGAGGACAGATTTCAAAAAGAGAGAGAAAAAGGGGATCTTGGCACGCAAAATATATTTGCATTCCGTTTACATTGTGCTAAAATAAATGTGAGCTACATTTGCTTAGACGCACAATAATTGTGTACCGCATGATATAAATAGAGGGTCTTCAAAAGGAGCAGGATCATGGCAATTAGACTGTCAGCTCTCTAGTTTTCTTTTATGGGATAATCAACTGATAACAAAAAATGAAACAAGGCAGATGGCTTACCTTTTGATAAC